TGCTGACATCTAACAGGGCTCCTACATATCTCTAATGTGTCCTCCTTATGGTTCTCTCTCAAGTTTTTAAAGGCACAGTTCAGGCCCTTAGTATCCTGTTCAGTTCTGGTTCCCCCCTCCCTTTTTTTTCCCTTTTACCTTTTCTTTTAAGGACAAGTATCTGCAGACTTGGGATAAGAATGTATGCTGCTAATGAGTCAACCCGATTTGATTTTGTATATGTTAAGTTAGAGAGACTCCAAAAAGTTTTTTTTACCTTCACTTCATGGGTTTAACTTTAAGAATTTGTGTTTTAAAGGAAAACAGTTGGAGTTAACCTATGAAGCTATTTGTGTATCAGATCACAGTTTGCAAAGTAGAATGTCTCAATGTTAGCTTTTAATTTGCAGGATTTAGCAGTGTTTGTAAACAGTGTTTATTTTTGCAGTACACAATAGCAAGACCTTTAAAGACCTTCGGGTATTTCTGCTCATCTCCTTTGGTTTTAAAATTACCATTTATTTGAAATGTGTTAATAATTTAAAACTGTACAGGAGAGTTGTGGGGAGTACATCTTATACTAAATTACTGCTTCTTGGTCCAAGATTATGGCACATATTGATGAGTAGAAATTAAAATTTCTTTTAACTCTGCATAATTGAATGCAGAATTTCCACTTTACTGTGTTTTTAGTGTTATCAACTATTCCTGAATGTTCTGGTCACACACATACATGAGCTTGCATTTGTACACATGCACCCAATATACCTGGAAATGTTGGGACCTTTCACAGAGGTGTGGTGTATTCTGAACTTCAACAGAAGTGGGAAAATTATCTCAAGAATGTCTTCTACTAAAGCATAGAAGTTTTATTTTAACATTTATATTTACTGAAAGAAAAACAGTGATCAGTAGTTCACTAACTTGCACTGAACCAACAGACTGTTCCTGAGTAGAATTGGCAAATTATTTTTTGGCAAATAAGGAGCAGAAAGGGCACCAGGGAAATGGCTAGGTGGATTTTGGGAGGCCTCCTTAACTATTTTTCTGCAGTAAGAAGATCTTGAATTTCAGTGCCATAAGGTGAGGCATGTTAAGCACTGAGTTGATAAATTTAGAGCACAGAGTGAAAGAGAAATAAACTCAGAGCAAACATATTGCCTTTATTTCGGAGGAGGAGCACAAAAGGTTTCACTTCCTAATTTGGAATAGTTTCTTGGAAGCTCAAAGTGGGTCCAGGCTATCCTAGTGTTTATCAGGCTTTGGGCAAGAGTTTTAGCTTTGTTCTTGATGGACCATAATATTTCACCACTTTTTCAAATGCTCACACTTCCAAAGATTGTGGACAAAAGTGATATTGGGAAAAGTGACATTATTAGAGACACCCGAGCCTTTTACAACGCAGTATGCCAAGGTCTTTGCATAATGTTCCATCTGTAAGGCATAATTTTTAATCAGTAACTCTACAAATTCACATTATTTCATTTTTGCACTTACCACCTTTATGTAACACTTCAACATGCTTTTATTTTTCATAATCTTCCCATGATGATAAAATCATATGCTCTTCACTGGACAAACTGGGGCTACTTAGAGATGCTGACAGTTTTTAGTTTTTGTCCTGGCACACATCTGGTATCCTTGCACTTCTGCTTTTAAAGAGTAGAAAATCAAGAGTTAGTACTACCCAGTGCAACCTTTTCAGTACAGTTTTCCTTACCATGCATATAAGGTAAAGGTTTCCCCTTGACATTAAGTCCAGTCATGCCTGACTCTAGGGGGCGGTGCTCATCTCCGTTTCCTAGCCGAGGGAGCCAGTGTTTGTCCACAGACAGTCTCCGTGGTCATGTGGCCAGCATGACTAAACACTGAAGTGCACAGAACGCTGTTACCTGCTCACCAAAGTGGTACCTTTTTATCTACTTGCATTGGCATGCTTTCGAACTGCAAGGTTGGCAGGAGCTGGGACGGAGCAATGGGAACTCACCCCATTGTGCAGACTATGCATATACCAAATCATTTTATAGAGAAAATTCTGTGCTAGGATGGGTTTGAGGAAGGCCTCAAAAGAAAGCAAAAAGGAATTAAAAGTAACCAAGAAACAAATATCACTTTCAGAAGCATCACATGGTTTAGCCCCCTTAGGATGCATGTTTGAGAAGTTCTTAACACAGAAGACAAAAAGTTATTTCTTCTCTCTCCGTTGGTCTCTCTCTATCTCCTCCCTCTCCTTTGTAATATGAGGGTGTTTTCTCATACATGGGCTCACCATAATCAGCAGTATGAAATGTATATAGACTCAGGAGGCATGTATGACATGGTGCTTTGAAGCCTATAGTTCAGCTGAAAGTAAAATAGGCCATTATGTGAAAATAGAGAGATGATGAAGGAAGGTCATGCATTTAAGGGCACCAGCTACATGGTTAGGCACTTATGACATATTTCAACTAATACATTCTTCTCATGACTTTAAAGGACACCATCTCACTTAGGAACAAAGGAAGCCACCTTATAATGAGTAAGACCAGTGGTCTTTCTAGCCCAATATTGTTGGCACAGACTGACAGCTCTCCAGGGTTTCTGGCTGGATTTTATCCTGGATTTTATGCTGTCTAGAGAAACTGGAGATTGAACCAGGGATCTCTTGCATGTTAAGCAGGTGGTGCACCATTATGGGCAAGAAAGTAAAACTGAGTTCTCTCCTCTGCTGCTGGAATCTGACAGCAACAAAGAAAAACAGAAGAGGGTCATAGCTGTGGAGATATCAGTCTCTAAACTTGTTTAGGATATGGATTTGATACTAGTTGACTTGATTTACCCTAAGCTTTCTTCTGCAACCCTAGTATGTAGCTACAAGTTCTTAGGGACTCTTGAAGCATATTATCTGGATTAAAAACCTGGCTTTGATTAGTAAAGCATGCTGCTATTTTATATTTCACATGGAACACTTTAGAGATTCACTAGTATATACAGAAAGTTTAATTAATCCTGTTCCTAATATCCTGCAGAGTTGTCAGAAACGATCAGTTAATATTAAGTTCTTCACTTTGTTAGATTTTCTTGGTGTTTCAAAGTTGTCATCTGAACACTGTCAATTCAGATATCCCTCATCTTTATTCATTATCAATAGAAAGGGGTATTCTTACTTGACTTATCCAGTTATAATTATGTACTGAGATAATTAATAAGTGAGACATGATCAACTTAACTGAAAGTGAGAGTAAGTAAGAGCAAATAAGAGCATGCAAGAAAAGTAGGAGGGGAAATAGATGAGTATACAATTTCTGCATGTAGCACCAAAGCATTACATCTGACCTAACCCTTATATCTGCAACAGGCTCCTATGTCATGGCATAAGAAAAAATGAACAGTAGTTCGATTTTTCTTTGTTTTCTTCTGGGCCAAAGTGAAAATGATGTTATTTAGGCAATGCAACAAGCCAAGAAGTGTTTAAAAAACAACCATGGTTAGCCTGTCATGTTGCCTGAACCTAGTCATGATATTTTGCCATGATATGTTTAAGAAACAACCATTCATTCTATGTCTTCTCCATACCACCATGGTTTCTCATGTTGTCCGAACCCAGGATCATAGCTGCCAAGGTCATGGTATGCAACTACCCCTGAGTCGTTTAGAAAGAGTAGCAACTAAAGTAGCAACTACTGCTGCCCCAGTAGCGTCTGTATGTGGGCCAAACAGGAAGAGGCAGGCAACATAGGCAGGGAGCAGTGCACCTTAGGATTGAATTTCAGGCACAGTGGCTGATGGGATACATGCCAATAGTGGAAGGTCTGAGCAGGACTGCAACAGTGGAGGCTTTCCTGCTGATGCAAGTAGCAACTCTGGAGAGGTTATTTGTGTCAGTACCATGATAAATTCCACATCCCCTTTCACGAGGTGGCTTAAGTTTTCCCTTGGCCACTATTGGCATTTTTTAAAAGTGTACATTAATTGCATTCACACAGTTAATGTCATGTTTAGTTTGTCCGTAAGAGGCAAAAATAAACTCTAAATCCCTTCATTATTCACAATTGACCTTGATGAGAAAAGGTTACCTCTTCAATTTCGAGTTAAACAGACTTTGACATACAGTAAAGTCTACACTGGCATTGTCTTTACTCTCCAACTCATATCTCTCCAGAATGTCCTTGTTTGTTTAAGTAAATAGTGCAGCCACATCTTATTCTTGTAAGGACTATGGGCGTAAGTTACAAAGTAACTCTTGAGACTCCCTGTATGCTTGAAGAAATATGTGTATATCTTTATAGGACTGGAATATAAATGTGCCATTTAGAAAGGCTTTATGCTATTGCTTCCAAACAGCTGAGTGTTTGAACTTTGAAAAGAAAATAGTAAATGTAGCTTTCAGGATCTCATAAAGAATGAAACATAGAAATGTTTTGGGAAGAAACAAACATATGAAAGAGTTAAAAAGGCAGCTTTTTTACGCTGTTAGGTGGCAGAATTTTGATCAGCTGTGATCCCTTCACTATAGTTTCATAAAAAAATATACCAGTTGAATGGAAGGCAAACCTAGTGCATCACATAAATTACGGTGATGGTATTGAAATAGCTTTGCAGCATAAAGTTTTATGAACAGTAAATCTTCTTTAAGATGAGACTGCGATAAAGTGCAATAAGCAATGTTAGCATAATTCTGAACTGAAAGAAAACACTAGATTCCTCCTTTCCACAGGGTGATTTGACATAGCTTGGGAAGCATATTTGTCTTACGACCTTTATTAAATTTTAATTTCCAGAGTGAATTGGGCAGGCTATATTAAAAAAGGGACCTGATGTGGAAATATTTTGTAAAGTTCGAAGCTATCTCGCACTGAAATTATGGTTGTTCCATTCAACCATAAACTGCCACCCATAAAGTGTCATATATGCTGAAAATTTTGGAATTCTTGGAAATACCAGTGGATTGATAGAATTAACAAAAGTTGTTGTATTTAAAGTACTTCATTGGCTGCACATTTAACATTAACGTCATTTGACATCATAAAGGAAGTTTTGTTCCAGCTCACTTGCAAAGACTATTCTACTCTTCATCTTTAAAAAGATGAATAACACCTCCTTTTACCAGCCACTCTTGCCCTAATGAATTATTTAGATTGCAGTCTTTCCAGTACATATGACATTTCATGATATTTACAGAATGGGGACTAGTTGGTAACTGGAACTCCAAAGCATTGTTATCTTGCCAAGTCAAGAAAACTGAGCTTTTCCAAGAGTAATTAAGGAAGAACATAGAAAGTTGACTCACTTGGTGGCATCTGCTTTTGTGAGGAACAGACAGTTCAAAGTTCCAGATCTGAACTGGACTATACTTTGTCACCAGAAAGAATGAAAGAAGCTGAAATCCTTCCCATGCCTAAAATTGCCCTGTGATCCTCAGATCTGTCTTAATTCTTCTCTCTGCTTTTGAAATGTCTACCCCTACAGATTTCTAAATCTAGAAATATGGATCCTTGATAAATGCATAGGGGTCATTTGATTGCCTCTGGGCCATCATACTGGAAGTGTTTTCTTCAGGAACAACTAGCCATATTTGCTTTGTAAAGGAGAATAATCTCAGAACTTTGAATGAATGGATAGTATCAGACTACATAGCCTCTTCCACCTCGGATATATATTTTGCACATGTGTTTTAGATAAGATCAGAATGCGTACTACTATCTCTGCTTCCTTTCTACTCACTTGACAACCAGGAAACCTGTATTCTAATCTGGGTTTCATTTCTTGTCTATATATTGGAATGTTCCAAAGAGTTGCCTTGTCTATATATTGGAATGACCTACTTCATGGGAATGATATGAAGATTAATAGATCACTGTGCATCACACCAGTGTGTTATAGTAGTTAAGAGTGTGAGATTGGAACTCAGGAGGTCTGATTTCTGGTCCCCCATCTAGTCTTGTCCTCATAGAGCCAACTGGGTGACTTTGAATCAGTCACAGACTCTCAGCTCAACCTACCTCACAGGGTTTTTTTTGTGAAGATAAGACTGAGAAGAGGAAGAGAATTATGAAAGTCCCCTGAGTTCCTTGGAAGGAAAAAGGACAGGATATGGATATAAATATAAATATATAAATAAATCAGATGTTGTGATTTTAAAGAATTAATGCTGGAGCTGGGGGTTGAAGAAACAATGGACTATCAAGAAAAGGACCACTGTATTTCTGATCACTATGTACTGGCATGAAAGCTGGATGGTGAAGAAAGCTGACAGGAAGACATACAAGTGACTCATGGCTCCAATCAAGCCAGAGGTTTCCCTAGAGGCAAAAGTGACAGAACTGAGGCTGTCATACCTTGGACACATCATGGGAAGACTAGATTTCCTGGAGAAGACAATCATGTTGGGGAAAGTCTAAGGCAAAAGTCAAGGGAAGACCAAAAATGAGATGGCTTGAATCTATAATGGAAGCCACAGTCTTGAACTTGGGGGAGCTGAATGAAGCTGTCATGGACAGGGCATTTTGGAGAGCTCTCATTCACAGGTTCACCACAAGTCAGTGATGACTTATTGGTATATAACGGCAACAAATTAAGGAAAACAAACACACTTGAATAACTCTTGCATTTCTGTAAGACTTCTAAACTGAATCTCAAAGGGAGGTCTTTTGCAGCCAGAGTCCTCTGTTGCAGGCATTCCTAGGTACAAAGAACAGTGCTGAGGTATCAGAGATGCATGTAACTGACCATTTGGCTTTCTGAATACTGCATCAAGAGGCTGAGTCTTAGGTTCACATGTCCTCCCTACCTTTCTGACCTGGCTAAGTGCTTCCCAGCAGAAGGGCTGACCTGGAGCAAACCCATCCTGTTGTCCTAATGCTTTTCTTCCTCTTCCTCTATCAGGAGAAAGCCTTATTTCATTTTGTGGATGAAAGATTGGCAAGATTTTCTGTCCCAACTGTTCCTTTGAAATAAGTATAAGTCTGTCAATGACGGAATATGGCTTCACTCTGCATTTTAATTATGAAAGTACTCTAGAAATTGTCTTTTAAAAATATGTTCCTAATTTAATGCAGTTGAGAGGATATGAGAAGAATATTTCATGTAGATACCCTAATCCAGGCAGTTGAAATAATGTGTTGCTTTCCAAGTGGATGGGTATGGCACTGTATCTTCAGAATTTTAAGGCAAGGTAAATGTATAGTTATCAGAATAATGTCTGTCAAATCACTCTTCACTGACCGTGGCTGCTCAGAAATTGGTTACATGCTTGTCTAAGTGCTAACTGCAGTTTTTGCTAACTCCAAATATAAAGATTACTTGATATTAGAGAAGAGTTTTTTCCCCTGAGCTTTCCTAGCCTCTTGGAATATCTGTTCTTGGTGGCTGAGAGCAGTCATAGTTCACTGTTAGATTGTTTGTGTATTTATGATTTTTCTGTACCTACTAATGAAACCTTCAATCAAACTAGAAACAAGTCATATTATATAAAACCAACATGGCTATGAAGCACAGGATAAATTCCATGTGAAAATAGTGCTAAAATCAAATGGGAGAAGGAGCAAACAGCCCAAAGATCTAAAATACACTGGGGCAAAATTTAAAAGGGCTAGGTAAATTAGAAAGTCTTTACTTAGTGCTGGAAATATCCCAACATATGCGCATTAGGGGAATCTGGAAAAGGGCCTCTGATGAAAGTCTTAAGGTCTCTTTGATTGCATATGGGAGGAGGTGATTTTTCAGATTTCAAAGCATTTACTACATTAAATGTAAATACCAACCTTGGAATCAGGCTTGAGTGGAAGCCACTGTAGATTGTTTTGGTGTCATACTCTGGGTGAGCTGAGGTTTCTGGACAGTTTTCAGAAGTATCCCCTTCAATAATTCATTGACGTAACCCAAACAGGAGCTAGATAGCTCAGCTGCCCTGATCCAGACAGGGTTCTAGTAAATATATCAACCTAAGCCACCCTTTCTCAACCTGGTGCTACCCAGATATTTTGGACCAGCTCCCATCAGCACCAGCCATCAAAGTTAATGATAGAAATGATGGGAGTTGAAGTCCAAAACATCTTAAAGATACCTCGTTTGGGACATCTGATCTAAGCAAATAAACAGAGCTCCACACCATTGAATCCTGCTGGTACCATCCCCTCACTGAGAAAGGAATTTATAAGGACCCACATTTAACCCTTAGTAAAACATTGAAAGGACTTTTGGATGGTACAATTAATGGACGCATTTGCCTGAGATATGTGTGGTGCCATTTACAATATACAAGTGCTGGACTGCTTATACATGGAGAAGTACTCATCATCTTGTCAGTTAAATTAGAGGGCCCTGCTTGAATATTGTCCATTAGTGGGTTGTAGGAAGGAACATGGCCCTTTCCCAGGCAGCTTCATTTAAGATGGTCTTCTTATATTTAAAAGGCTGGCCCTTGTAGTCTTGTAGTCCTTTAAACCTGAGACAGAAGCAGTTAAGACCACTGGGTGGAAAAAGAATACACATAGAGATGTTAAAATAATTATTTGAATTTACTACTTATATTTGAGCACTGTTGCTGGGAACCTGCCTCTCTGCCTCCACCAGCAGATCCTTCCAAAAAGATCCAGATAAAAGACTTTAACTACGGTCGTTATGTTAACGTGTGCCAGCCAGACTGATACCAAAAGGCTATTGCAGATATTAGCAAAAGACATCAAGTTAGAAAAGCCAGTTAATTAAGGAGATATTACCACTTGTGTCGCAAAGTTGATGCCAAACTGTACCCCCATCTCCTTTCTCAAGCAAATGGAGTTAGCTCCATCCTTAGGGAGGTTCCTGCTGCTTGTGGGCCAGGGAGCACGAACATCAGGCACTACTTATTTGGACTACTCTAAAAGGCTTCAGCATAAAGATAGGATTCCCCAAATCATGTATATTTCTGAAGAATTTTGAAATATGTATAAAAATAGTACTGATAGAAGCTTCGCGGCCTTGATTTGGAAAGTGAACATTGTATCTTTGAACATTTCAATGGAACAGTTAATTTAATACCAGTCAGTGGAGCACAATGCTCTGTAAATGGAATTCAGATCTCAGAGGCTACACAACTCAACCAAGGTATTTGATTGGAATTATCTTTTTTTTTCCTATCCGTTTTTCTACCCACAACACTGAAAAAGAAAATAATTGGTCATAACATAATTTCCCCTTTCTGTTCTTCCTCTCCTCTAAATAATTGTCATATGTCTGCTGAATATTTCCTTGCAATTCAACTGCACAGATAAAGCATGTCCTGTATTTATTGTGTGAAGGAGTGTGTGGAGCTATATCAGAGGAAACTCACCTGTGAATTCCATGCAGTTTAGGTGAGCCAGTAGGCCATTGCAAAAAGTAAATATTACTTACTATTAATTTATATTAGTAAATATTAATTACTATTATTCTATTACTTTTTATTTTATAATAAAATATTGTATTAATGATATTTATTTATTTGTAAGCCACCCCGAGGCTTAGATGAATGGGGCGGCGTATAAGTCCGCTAAATAAATAAAGAAATAAAATACCCACACTTTCATTCATTTTCCTCTCAGAATGACCTGATTTGCAAGACCCAGCAATCCCAAATAGACAGCAAGCCATGGTTGTTGTGTCATCCAAACCCTAGACATGGTGGCTAGGATTTTCTTTCTTTCTTTTTTCTTTTTTTTTTTTGGTCTTTGTTTTCCCAAACAAGCCACCCTGAGAACCACAAGCTGTTTGTAGGGTTTGTTTTGCTACAGCATATTGTCATGTCAGACTAGAGATGTTTAAGGAATCCTATGGGGAGAGGGGGTGAACTCCGGTTCACAACTTTTCACAATTTGGCCTCCTGGATTCTAGTTCACCAGCCATGCACTGTTTCTGGCAAGCATGAGCTGAGCCAGGTTACAGAGTCTTTTTCTCTACGGAACGTCACAGCTTGCACATTACTAAAATGCCAAGGAAATTTGCATTAAGTTACTGGATTTGTGGAAAATAGCACCTAAAAAACACCTGGCCCTTGTGCAATTTGCACAGAATGCATGTCTCACACACCGTTTAGATGCCAATGTGCACACATTTATGCAAATTGCACTAAATCTAAATACTCCTCCAGTTCATGGAAACATGTGAAGTACCATGATTTGTGCAAATTTCATAACTTTACACAAATGGCATAATTGCACCAAATTCCCTGTGTCTTAAAAACAAAATGCACAAACTGTCACCTGTCTTAGAGACCAAATTCCGTTGGGAAACATTTATTTGGCCTGTTTCTGATCATTGTATTAGAAACAGTCAGGAAGTCTGTTAAGCTCACATGAGCTGTACATCCTAGTGTCCCTAAAGTAAATAACCAATCCCACTGTGGGTAAAATTCAACAGCCAGTGACTTATTTGGCAAGAGCAGTTTAAAAACCCATGCCATTCTTCCTGTCCTTGCCATAACCAAATGGGACTAGTTGGCACTAGTCTGCTACAGGGAAGGGAGCAAACAGCCCACAGTGAGCAAAATTGTCAGGTGCACTGTGGGTTTTTCAGAGAACAGCCAACCCACTGTGGCTTAATGCCACAGTTGGCATTCATGATTTGCAAACCTGCTCACTGTGTGCAAGGATTCCAGTTTTTTGGAGGGGTGGGGATAATGACCATTTTACAGAAAATATAAAAATATGTTAACTGAAACACACTGTAAACTACTTGGATCATTTCAAAAGATGAAAGATGTATGTGTGGAAAATATTGTCAAAGAATTTGTAATGCCAATAAGTTGCTTTAACTTGCTGTTAAACAAGACTTTTAATTCATTTTATTTTATAGTAGTTGTGATGGATAATCTAGTACATTTAGGAGAATCTAGGTGGACATGTAGTACAAAGATTTTAAAGTGTCAGTTCTGCACTTAAATTACTATTTTTTCAACATTATATTTTTCTCTGGATGAAACAAACTTTGTTCAGTGTTTTGTTTAGCAGTTTTGGTCAGATACTGATACTTTTCCAGCATGGTTGTGTGAACTAACGTGAGTGGGTAAATGAAGTAAAAAAAGAAAATAATCCTATGGGGTTTTTTCCCCTAATTTTGCTAGGTGCAGTTATATTACTTGGGAGAACAAACATGTTTCGTTTCAATCATCCCAAGGAAGCAGCCAAACTGAGGGAAAAAAGAAAGGTGAGATTAGTTTGTATTATTACTACTGCATTGCATTTATATTGTGACTTTTTTCTGTCTTGTGAGGAACCCAAAGTGCCTTACGTAGCTCCATTTTATCCTCACAACAACATTCTTGTGATAGGCTGAGAGTGAGTGACTGGCCCAAAGTCACGCACTGAGCTGCTTATCTAAGTGGGGACTAGAATGCAGATCTCCCAAGTCCCCAGTCAAAAACACTAACCAACATTGTTTGTTTGTTTGTTTGTTTGTTTACAACTATGAAAACCATAAAATGCAGTACAATGAGCTACAATATAAATGTATAAGAGCTACAGTATATCCTAAAAATAGCAACCAAATGAAACCTAGTAGCAGTGCAAAATTTGCAGATGGAATGACAGATTTAAATCAGCAGAAACTGGAAAACTACAAAGCCTGAGAAAAAATGGTCTTCACCTGGTACAGAAAGAGCACAATTGATATTTTGGGGTGCTTGCGACTATTGCTGGGATTTTGGGGTGTTTTTTTTTTTTAGTTTATTTTGAGATTCAGATTAGTTAACCACTGGAGAACATTTTGGGCTGGGCTCCAAGTATACCAGAGTGGAAACACGCTTTTACACTGAACCTTGGCAGAAAGCAGATGGAAGCTGGGAAGCATCTGTATTAGGTAGATCATTCCTAAGGGATAAAGATGAAAATGTTTCTAGTTGCTCAGATGGAGTTAGACCATGAGCACATTAGGGAAAAGAAATAGACCACAAGCATGCAGGAAAACAGTCTGTCAAAGAGTCATAGCAGAAGATGTGCAGGACAGCGTCACCTGGGGAGTGATGCCATGCTACAAGCTTCTGAGCCAAAATGGGAGCTTTGGGGAGCCTAATTTGAAAAAGAACCTTGATATACGAAACCAGTAGAATAGAGAGAAACATTCATCTCTGCATTTAAGTTCTGTAATAAGGTCAAGGACAGGCATGCTGGAGGAGGCATTGCTTTCTACATCAAAGAAGGCACAGTGTTAAGAAGACTAGAGAACCTAACAGGGGCAAGCTTCTCCACATAAACACTGTGGGTGACAATACTTAGGCTCGGAAACTAATTTAACTCTCGTCTCGCAGACTATTATGCTTAGGGTGGCAGAAAACAAAAATCAGGGAGGTCTCCAAATGAGAAAGTGTTGTAATAATGCGTGACTTGAATTATCCCCTTGTTGAGTGGATGTATGTTACTGCCACAGCAAAGAGGTTAATTTTCTCAATGTTCTAAAAGACTGCACTGTAGAAGAGATTTATCACGTGCTATTGAATTTAATATATATTTAAGTAGAAAACTGCCAAGAAAATCCAACATAGTCACATTTTACTTCAAGAAGACAGTTATCTAAAAAGAGGGAGCACCATGTGAATGCATGGTCTGCTCACCAAAAAGACAGACCCGCAGCTGCCAGTAAGCAAGCCAGAATCTGAGGAGCCAAGCCCAGCAAAATGGATTATTCGTAAACCTCTAGTGGAAGCGATGCACTCAGGAGCAAAGAATCCCACCTTCAGGTGTAAGCCAATGGAATCTGAACTAGCAGTGACTGACCAAGAAAGAGTGCTTAGGTTTGCAGTGGACAGTTCAGTGAAAATGTGAACTCAGTGTGCGCAGTTGCTGTGAAAAAGGCAACCAGCAGGCACAATTAGGGAAAGAAATGAAAATAAAATGGCTAATTCCATAGTGCTCTTATAGAAATCTCTGCATGAGCACACTTAGATTATTATGTCCTGTTCTGGTTACTGGACATCATAAAGGTTATTGTACAGTTGAAAAAAGGACAGACAAGTAACTAAAAAGATCAGTGCTGGAACAGCTATGAGAAAAGATTGTATAGCTTAGAAGGAGGCAAGGATTAAGAAAGATGATGCAAGTGTACAAAATTATGTATTGTTTTGGGAAAAGTGGATGTTATTAAATCCCATCAAGTCATCTCCAGTTTATGGGGACTCTGAATTAATGTCCAAAATCTCCTGTCTTTGACAGGCCTGCTCAGCTCTTGTAAATAGGGAAATGAATAAGGAGACATTTTTCTTCTTCCTTCATAGTAGTAGAACTTAGGATTATCTCATGAAGCTGGTTGACACTGATTCAGGACATACTGCTTTACACAATGTATAGTTAAACAATGGAATTCACTTCCCTGAGAAGTTAAACAATGGAATTCACTTTAAAGTGGGGGTTGGACAGGTTGCATTAAGCAGATCCTTGGACTAATGTAGCATGGCTTTTCTTAGGTTCTGTCTTTTTTAAGACTTAAACAGCAATGTGCACCCAGTAAATTATCCAAACAATAAAAAGGGGAGGAAAAAATAATCATAATTAGAATGCAGACATAAAACTTTGAAATCAGTTTGTACAAATCATGACTGGATAGATTAAATAAAATGTCTTCAGTGTGCACCAAAATCAAAAAAAAGTTGGTGACTGATGGCATGGAATTCTATTACGAGATGAAAGTATACTTGATAGCACGAAAAGTTTGAATAACCTATTCAAAAGGTATTTAATTTTAGTAAGTAATTGCTGCATCTTCTGCTGTCTTATCAGAGTGGACTGCTTTCCACCTTCAGTTTGTCCATGTCAGATCTTTCAAAATCTTGTGAAAACCTCTCAGCAGTCATGCTGTATAATCCAGGGTGAGTACATTCCAAATACTGCTATTCTCAGCAGTATCAACAACGTGATATGTATGGGTCTGTGTATGTCAATGTCAGCATTTTGAAAGTGCAGATTTCCTAACCTGCTGCATTTATATACTTTTAACATTCAAACAAAACCTGTCAATTGACGTTAGTTAATAAGTGAAGTCTAGAGAAGTAAGTATTCCACCAGATTGACTGAGAGAATTTACAACTATCTAGAGCTAGTTTCACTACTATAGGTATTAGCAAAGTGTAGATTTGATCCAGCATATAAACAAAAATACTGTTTATTTTCATGAGTTTTGAGCAGGCATGAGTGTAGTTCTCCCAGCAGAGTTGTTTTTGAATAACACTTTACCCTTATGCTAAGAATTTACCCTTATGCTTTTCCCAAAAGTTAAGACAAAACAAAAAAGACAAGTGAAAAGGAAATATTTAAAAATAAGTATTACAAAGAAATGTTTTAATAAACGTAAAGAATGAGATGTGGGTAGAGGAAATATATTTATGTTACTTAATGCACTAGGACAAATGTTTCAGTTATGCTAAAGTGTAAAGCTTGTAACTTTTATTGTTTTAAAAATTGTGGGCCTGGATCTAGTGTATCTGCAAAGTAGCAATTGATCCCAGATATTCCTTCCCTACAATGGGTGATTAGCACTGTCAGTGCTGGCAACTCAGGCGGCCGTTCATTGATGGGAGATGCTTGCGTACAGCAACTGAGTGAGACCCCAGCCAAAGCTGCTGCGGAAAGAAGCATGTACCACAATAAGCTAGTTAGTTTTTAAGGGCTAATTTTATTCTGTAGTAAACACAGCTATATCTGTAATTCATTTCTGCTTACTATGTCTTTTGGCCTCCACTGTGTAGAGCATCATTTCCCAACACGATGCCCTCCAACCATACATAGGATGTTTCCTTATACTGTCAGACCATTGAGCCATCTAGTCCAGTATTGTCAATGTTGATTGGCAGCAGTGGCTCTCCAGGGCTTCAGGCAGGACTTTTTCCAGGCAATGCCATGGATCAAACTGGAACCTTTTGCCACCTCTACTGCTGAGCTACAGGGCTCTCGCATAAGCCCCAGGCAGCCATGGCCAATGGCCAAGTATGCTGGGAGTTCTATTCCAAACCTTCTTGAAAGCCCATGACTGTAGAAGTCTGGTGGAGAGTATCTGCTATCATAGCCTCAGAATAAATTATTCTGGAGTTTGGTGGCAGTAATAAGGAACCTGGAAAAATATCAAAATGTGCTTCCTGTCTTCTACCTATGGTCCAGTTCCTTGCCTTAAAAAATCTCTACACTAACTGATTATATCATTGCCTTCTCTGAGACTTTTTGATAAATGTTTTCTTTCATAATGAAGTTCATTGAACCGTTATACAGTGTTGAAGTATGCAGGGGTGGGAACCTGCTATTTAATTTAAAGCAACAGGTTAACTGTTCATAGTTTACTGCCAAGAAGAATTGTCCAGCTGGGCCAGACCAAAGGTCTATCTAGTCTAGCAACCAGTTTCCATCCATGGCCAACAGCTATTGTACAAGCAGTAGCCTCTTGCCTTTGTTTGTCCCCAGCCACCGACAGAACCATGCTGTCTCTGAAGTTCCCTTTGGATGATATGGCCAATAGTCATCTTCCACAGAGTTGCCTAACTGTCTTTCAAACAGAAACAGGCCATGCACACATTTGAAGCCTCAGAACATGCATTTCCACTGTTCACTGTGGACATTCTATTCTTCTGTGAAATGGTTGTGAATCTGTATCCAGCACAGCTTTCGATGTGCATTGTACTTCAGAGTAGCAAAATCTGAACTAAACTAAAATCTCAACTAAAAGCTGAGTGACAGCAAATCTTCTGGAGCTTAGTCCAAAATCAACTGAAATTAACTGTTGGCCATATTGATTTTCTTGTTAATTCTGCAGTAGATTTATAACACCTCAAAACTATCAATAGCAATAATTGAGATGAGAGGTCATTTTCCTTTTTAATTTGCATTTTTTTATTTTAAAGCAACTATTTCCATAGTATTGGGAAGTCAGAATTTACTTCCAACATGCAGTTGTGGCCCCATGGGTAGATGTGATTACTGCGTGAGAAAAGATTAAAAACAAGCATCTGAAGCGGCCCTTAGTCTCTCATGAGAGATGCTATAGCTGTTCATGTGTGAGTGACTTTCTACATTAGAGTGAATCGTGTATATCTTGCCCTCACATGTACTATATAATTTGCATAAGAGGATGACTCCACATGAGCTGCACAAACTAGATAATACTTCTCCAAAAGAAGACATGCATGTCTATTACCCTGTTCGTGTAAGAAAAGGAAGTATGGGTTGTTTGCCCGTGTCCTGTTGTGGATTTTTTAAAAAGTAGAAATCAATTCTCTATATACTAAGCTTTATATCACATACAGTTGCATCCTAAAACATATACAAATACAGTTTTTGACCCCTACACTTTCATGAAAAGTTACTTCAAAAGGTTATTCCCTGAACAGCAAGGGATCGAATGCAAGGGACATTAGTTGGTGGGGTAGTCAGCAGAAAACTGTGTGTAGAAATGCTTCCTATTCATGCTGGGGTCTCTTTTCTTTCAATCCTATATATGCATGCATTTCTATTGTGGGGTTCGGTTGTTACTGCTTTTCTTTTAATCTTATTTCTAAAAGCTCTTTGCTTGACTGATGACTTTGTTTCTCTCTACCTCCTCTGGCAGTCTTTTCCCTGTAAAAGGACCAATCTGTCTAAGGTAGAGAAACTAAATTTCTTTATATTGATGGCTATACCTGTGCATGTACCTAAGCTGTAGAAGCAGTGTTAATCATTTTTCTCTTTTGATTAATGTTGCTATATTGTGGTCATAAATTATACTGAATATAAAACTCATTTTGTTGAGTATATTAAATTATAAATTGTATAATCAGAATTCCTTTTTAATTTCACTTTTCCTTCTTTAATAAAACAGATTAGAATTTGAGAGACAGCAACGAGAAGAACTAGAAAAATTAGAAAGTAAAAGGTATGATAGATGTCTGGCTATAAAGACATATACTGATATGTGGCTGAAAAAGTGGCAGCAAAAGACTTACATTATTTCCTTTAGAAATTTTTAATTACAATAAACAAAATAGGAGGGATTTCATTGGAGCAATGTATTTGGTGTTGTGTTAGTATTATTTATGAAATGTATTTATTTATTTATGAAATTTGTATGCTGTCCAATTACCAGCATCTCTATTAACTTTCAAGCTTTATAGAGCTTTCCATTAGACAGTGCTAACATGTATTTATGTTCAAAAACTGTATGACTAAATTGAGCCCAATAATAGAGTATAAGAATAGGATTCTTGCTCTTGTCAGGACAGAGGATGACTTTATAGCAATGTATTGCTTCCAATTATTCACCGTAGAAATCAGCTGTAAGGTTGAAATTGAAACTATATAAATTAGCCCTATAAGGACAAAAAGAAAATGCAGCTTTGTGCTCCAGACACCTTAGAATTTTCATATTTGTTTAGTGAATTTTAAAAATGTGAGTTTATCCTGCATTCAGCAAAAGTTTTCTATGACAGGAGGGCTCCTTTGGCACTAGGTTTTCAGCCAGCACATCTTTTCTGTTGGGTGAATGAGGGAGGATGCAATACTTGCTAATTCCTTGTTCACCTGTCACTCCCCTGTATCATTCCAAAATCTGCTGTGGGGGATTTGGAGATCCTCTAAATCAGCAGGGGAGGAGATAGCACTGGGGCTACAGAGGTAAGGAGAATCTGTAGAGATGCCTCTTCTACCTCACTTTTCTCTAGCAGGAATTCAGGAACTTTCCAGCCAGTGGATCCAGTCCACTGTATTTATTGACCTTTAATGTGCAGCTCCATATAGGTAGAAAATATTCCTTAAAGTATTAAGTAAATTATATCACCAATAATATAATGTTTTAACTATGTTAAGCAGTTTTCTTACTGCCCATTTAAACTGATCTTGACTGTAGGTCACTTGCTAATATTTGCTAACTAATAGACCATAGTTACTTGCTAATACAATAACTCTTCATATGTAGTAAAATAGAATGAAACAAGACATTGATAGCTTTGATATAAAGTCTTCCATCTCTTAAGTGCAAAAATATTTGGAAAACTAAAACTTTTCTTTAAAAAAAACTTTTAGAAAGCTGATAGAAGAAATGGAGGAAAAACAAAAAACAAACAAAGCTGAACTAGAAAGAATGCAACAAGAAGTAGAGTCACAACGTAAGGAAACAGAAATAGTTCAGCTACAAATCCGAAAGCAAGAGGAGAACCTTAAAAGGAGAAGTGTTCATATAGAAAGCAGGATGAAAGACTTGTTGGCAGAAAAGGAAAAATTTGAAGAAGAAAGATTACGTGAACAGCAAGAAATAGAACTTCAAAAAAAGAAACAAGAAGAAGAAATTTTTGCTAGAGTTAAAGAAGAACTTCACAGATTACAGGAGCTCAATCAAAATGAAAAAGCAGAGAAAATGCAGATATTCCGAGAATTGGAAAAGCTTAAAAAAGAAAAAGAAGAACAGTATATCAAATTAGAACTGGAAAAAAAGAGGCTAGAGGAACAGGAAAGAGATCAATTACTGCTGGTGGCAAACTTAGAAGAACAGCTTAGAGACAAACAAGTCATGATACAGCTGCTCAAAAGAGATGTGCAAAGGGTTGAAGAGGAGAAAAAAGGCCTTGAAGACATCAGAGAGTCTCTCTTGCATGTCAAAGAAGCCAGATCTGAGGGAGAGGAAGACTGTGAAGAATTAGAAAAGGTACAGCACAGCTTCATGGATTTTAAGCGGAAGCAACTAGAACGACTAACTAGTTTAGAGAGAGACTTGGTACAGCAAAAGAATCATCTGGAAAAAGAGGTAGCTGATGAACATGAAAATCTGGTCCATTTAAAACATGCATATACACAGAACTTAAATCTAGAGAGCAAGGATGAAAACATGCTGGAGGCGGCATTAGCTGTTGAAGAATGCAACAAAATAAAATTAGGTGAATACAGGCTGCAACATAAGGAGAGGCAGCTTCTATATCTTATGAATAATCATTTACCAACTTTGCTAGAAGAAAAGCAAAGAGCCTCTGAAGTACTTGATCGAGGCATGCAAAGCTTGGACAATACACTTTATGAAGTTGAGAAAGAAATGGAAGAAAAAGAAGAGCAGCTGGCGCAATATAGGACCAGTGCCAGTCAGTTGCAGCAGCTTCAAGAAACATTTGAATTCACTGCCAACATAGCTCGTCAAGAAGAAAAAGTTCGGAAAAAGGAAAAAGAAATCCTGGAATCAAGGCAAAAACAGCAACGAGAGGCACTGGAGCAAGCTGTAGCTAAGCTGGAAAGGCGGCACTCTGCTCTGCAGCGTTATTCTACCATAGAAATTGAGGAGCAGAAGCAGAAACTTGCAACTTTGAACAGCAGTTACACTGAACAGGCTGACCTGCAAGCTACTCTAGAAGCAGAACAAAAGGCCCTGGAAGAAGATCGAGAACAGTAAGAAGAATTAATTTTGTCAATACACACAGCAAGGGAGTTTCATTTCAGTTTTATTGAAAATGGTGCTGTGGTAAAATGAGGTAATCACTGGCCTTGAGGAGCCCTTCTTGTTGAGGTGCTAAGGAAGTTCATGGGGAAGTGGTTGAGCAGATGGAAGCTTTCCTTCCTGTGTAAATAGTGGGGCTTGTAGTAGAAATTTTGCCAGGACTGCAGCAGGAGAGGAAAGTGATTAAACACTCCTGTGAACAGCCCTGATAATTATCAGCTGTACCCCTGACATTTAAAACAACAAAACAAACATGTTAAATACAAAGTCACATTAAATCTAGTTTGGCCCTTAAACTGCATCAGAAATTTCATTCCCATCAGACTAACTGATGTGCTGTTTGAGAAGACAGGTTGGGAAGTTCTCTATGGATGTAATCCTATGACCCTGAGATGGTGTACTGGAGAGCATAAGATATATGGGACCTCCTCCCTCTGAGCATGGAGAGAGAGGTGGTATAAATTGCTGGGATTATGGGCTAGGATGAAAACTTAAGACTCAAACCTAAATGCAATCTTCTGAATACTTTTATTTAGATAAAATGCAGCTGAATTCAATGGATTCACACTTTCTTCATTCGCTCAGGTAGTTCTGCTGCAACAGCAGACCCTAGGTCATTTACTTGGAAGTAGGTGATGCACCTGCTGCGTCTCCGGTGTTTTCAAAGTTCTGCTGATTGTGGTGTTGTTATCTTAAATACTCTGTCTTCCCATGTCTTTCTATGATGTGGGAAAACACCTATTTTAACTATATGTGCGTTATCTCTTTTGGGAGTTCCTCTGTCCACTGTTAAAGAACATCTCCTTTCTATCAGTAACCTGTACCTCCACTTCTTCTCAGGATTTGGACTTTTGCAAATCTCTTTGACCAGTGTTTTCACCCCACATTCATCTTGTTGTACACACATGCATGCACACACACTTGCATGATTTCCCAGTTCTTCATGTTTACCCTGGTAACTTTCCTCCATTTAAACCTCAAGAAGCTTTTTACCCAAGCGGGGACCATCATATGATTTTACAAGATAGATGTAAGAGCTAGGATTGCCCTTCTAAACTCTTTAAATAGGCAGTGAAGCTTCATAGCAGGCTTTTCATCTCACTTTCTAAGTAATAGAGACAAGAGAGGGGGAAATTTTACTAATGTGCCAATATTCTATGACACACAGTTTTCAATATAGTTTGAGTTTTGTGGGTAATAATTTGGCCATTACACAAATCTCAGAAGAATATTGACCCCATGGTCTAACATAGTTTCAGTGCAGCAAAGTAGCTGTATAGTGCATCTCGCTCTAAACAAGTTTAGTTTTAGGACAAGATTAAGCCCTATCATAGTGTGAATCATTGGCTGGGTTAACCCATCATGACAAGCAACCCTGCATGGTTACCATGTTCATGGTTTTTTACCTTGATGTGCCTGACATACGAAAGGTTTCATCATGGTAATTCTCCTCCCTCCTGCCTTATCTTTCCCTCTAAGCCCTCCAGCTGGTATCCTAGGCTCCTCTCTTTGACAGCTGTGAGCACAAGCCCAGTTGCGCTCACTGCAGCCATCAGGCAATCTCTGTTATGCAAACAGGGCTCATGCCCTAAAGTGCAGCAGAGAATGAGAGGAGGCTGAATAAAAAACAGCACCTTTGCCTCCTGCTCAAGAGGGGACTGCTGGTGCATGAGGGAGATTGCTTGATCCATGCCCAGGTAAAGCAGGAAGGAGTCAGCTGGACAGGACTTTGGAAAGGAGCAGCACTGCTCAGCTGAGTCTCTCAGCACCCCACTTGCGCGTGAGTGTGAGGGTTAAGAATCAGTTGGGCAGCAATGCCTGCACGGCTCAGCTGGTTCCCTGCTCGCCCCTTTTCTTAGTCCTGCTCGCCAGAGAGAGAGAGGTCAGGCTGGTGCCCACAGGAGTGAGAATGGAGGCTGGCAGGGGAATCAGCTGAGTGACCTCAGCAACACAGATCTTCTTGTTTTCAGGTGTGTCTGCACCTTGCCTGACACTTCCTGCATCTTGCCACGTATCCTGCATCTTTTTTAAAAATAAGTTTTATTATTATTATTTTCTACAAGCTAAAAACCCCCCTAAAAACATCAGTCATCAAAGACATCAGACCTACTGGGTCAGCCCTCCATTTTTTTTATAGCAGTCCATAGACATATTCAAATCTACGCATAGTCCTGTTTCTCTAGCCAATAATAAAAAGAGTTCCAAGTTTGATAGAAGTATGTATCCTCTTTCTCCTTCAGAGACAAAGTCAGCCTGTCCATTTCAGTGCAGTCCAGGATCTTTTTTTAAAATCAGCTCATCAGTAGGTGGCTCTTCACTCCTCCAATGTTAGGCAAATACAATCCTTGCCACAGTAATTACTTGTAGAATCAAATATGTTGCTTGTTTATAAACATCATCAGACACAATGCCTAATAAAAAGACTTCAGGTTTAAATATTAAAGATTTTATAACATTTCCTCAAGCCATTTATGTATTTTAGCCCAATATTTTTTTGCCTTATCACAAGTCCACCACATATGATAAAAAGTACCAGGTTTATGTTTGCATTTCCAACATCCATTTGACATATTTGGAAACATTTTTGCTAGTCTATTTGGCGATAGGTACCATCTATAAAACATTTTATAAAGATTTTCTTTATATGAGGTTGCTAAGGTTACCTTGATATTTCTTTCCCACAACTTTTGCCATTTCTGTAACTCATTATATCCAAAATTTTGTGCCCATGTTATCATAGTTTTCTTAACTTGTTCATCTTCCATTCTCATATCCAAAGAAAGTTATACAGTCTTTTAATCATTTTTTATCTGATTTTAAGATCATTTGATCAAATGTTGTTAATTCCTTATAAAAACCCCACATTTTATAATCTTTAACGTATCTCGATTGTATTTGAACCTTATGCCACACGTATCCTGCATCTTGTTGTGCTGCCTTAGCAACACTGCTGCCTACATCGTGTGTGTGTACACTTAGATATTTGCAATTGTAATAAATCCTGAAACAGGAAAGGTCAAAGAACAAAACAAAAACAGCAATGGAAGAACAGCATGACAAAAAGCATACCTATTCACAATGACTGTTTCCATCATCATTCATAAAAAGAGGGGCTTGGACCAGCCTGTTTTAGTGGATTCTCACCCTTTCTGCTCATGTGTATGGGGGTTTATGTGGAAGAATCCTCTGAGCGTCACAGCCCCCAATTAGGCACCACCACCCAGCCGATTCTTGCTCCTCTCACTCATGTGCAAGAGCAGTGGAGAAGTCAGCTGAACCTCACACTTCCTTTCCCAGCACCAACCAGCTGGTCACCCCTTCCTACCCCAAAAAAGATCTTTAGGATAGGAGGCAGGCAGAGTGGGGATGCCTCTGACAGCTGCCCAAAATGGCAGCTGACAGTGATGCTGTACAGCTAGCCACAGCAAGAGCTTTCTGCTTCTGGCCTTGGTACTATGATGAACTGTTTTCAGGTGACACAACAACCCATTGTGGTACCAACAAACCATAGGGCAGACCATTGTTTCTGTTAATAGTTTCTGAAAACCAAACTTACCTGCTGTAATATCATGATAGGGTTTAGGCGACACAACAGAGCAACAGTGGTAAAACAAATGAACAAACCATTGTGGCTTGTCATGTCATGTAAACTAACCCATTGTGGCTGGGATTATAAGTTTTTGCAGTTGCTTTGAGCACACTTTAAATAGAGCATGCTTAAATAAATAATCTATTTATATGACCCTGCAGCAGTTCTGCAGAAAAGAATGAGCAGCACTACCTATACTTGAACATCCATACATGAAACAGTAGTATAGTTGTTCCTGTAGTAAGCAAACTCTTGCGATGATCATATGGCAGCTGCATAGAACCAAAGAAATTAACTTTAGATTATGTTCATTAAAATACTTTAATATTTTCCCATTCAAATTTTAGATGATCATTGATATGTGCACACCATCTGGAGTGATATGTGTAAGCTATTTTGTTTCAGACTCTTGGGAAATATGAGGCTGTTTTTCTTTTAAAGTGGTGAAGGTTAAATCTTCCAAAACAAATTTTCTCCCTTGGTTTATATTTTAGCATATTATTTATGTATTACAGATATTTCCTGCCCACATTTCATTATATAATAACCTCAAACAAAACACAGTAAAATAATACAGCATTAACTAAAAAATGCTGGTTTTTTAATATGAGGTAGCAACCATGAATGGACTCTCAGGTCTATTTGCAAAGTCTGTATGGATCTGGAATTGAGTTGAAGTTAAAAAAAAAATTGTCTTCATCAATTTGAATCCAACATTGTCTTTTGACTTGTGCCAGTTCTAGTTTCTATATTATCAAAACTCTAGAATGAGGTAAGGTTATTCAAGTGCTGTTAATGGTCTAATGCTTGTGAATCAATCTAACTTTAATGAGCTGACTAAGATATTCGCTCTGAAAATTACTAGTGTTCATTTGTTTAACTAATATATTTACATCCTAATATAATTCCTTGTTGACAACAAGTACTTTGCTATTTAAACAGTTGTAACATTTTTGTTAATGTTTGTGTGTATCTAAGGAAGTGGCCCTCATGGAATAATATCCTCAGTTAATTTCTTCTCAAACCATATTGGCACTAGTCTTGTGTGTCTGTCAAAGAACAACTGGATTTTAGTACGTTCTTAGGCTCTTTACTGAAAGTACTGTAGCAAGTAGGCCTACATAAGAAAGTATAAACATTTATTTGGAGAAGCCTTCTACAGTCTACAGTTATTGAGTGCCAGGGACTAAAAATCTATCTGCTTTCAGGTTTTAGATTATTTAAAGCTCAGTTCTATGTATGTCTAGATAGAAATTGGTCCTACAACTTTCCAGTCCTCTGTCTAAACAAGCATAGCATTGTACCCCTAGAGATCTTCCTTTGCATCACTTACAGACATATCCTCTAGATTAAAATACCCTGTTGGTAGGAAACCTCCCTAAATTACTTTTGTCTCCATTTTATGCATACGCTCAAACATTTGGGGCGGGGGGGCGGTGTCCTAGGGAAGCTAACTACAGCAGAGCTTGAGAAACCCTACTGTGCATCTTAAATAAAGTGTGTTGAAATTTGCTGACAGCTTGGACTTGCAAATACAGCAGCTAAAGCAGAAGATATACGAAGGTGAGGGAATTGAAAAAGGCTACGTTGGAGTTGTAGAAGAGAGTAGCAGCTCCTCTTCTAACATTACCAAATCTCCATCCCATTTTATACCACTGGTTGATGACAGGTATGTCTATTTTACTGACTTGTACACCTTCCAAAAGCCTATGACCCAGTTTTCTACTGAAAATTTTTAGATGAATGTCATTAATAAAATGGCTAAAATCTTGTTGTGATTAGAGTCAAATGGCACAGTTCTGTCCTTTGAAGAGTTTGACATATTTCCCAAATAAGAATTGGAACTTTGTTTTCATTTTACTTGGAGCAGCTCACGGGTTTAAGCTGTTCAGATCAGGACCCATGGTTTATAGCAGTTTATTATTATTTTCACAATGCCTGTGAAATCTGTTTAATGCCATGTAATCAAGGGAATATGAAATATTACCTAATAGCATACACAGAGCCAAATCTCTCACCCCATCCTAACACCCTTGGGGTTGTTTTTTAAACATTATCAACACATGCACACAATATCCTCTTCCTTCTGCTGCTTTTAACCCAAATCCTGCTTTCTAGCAACTTTTATGTTGCCTCTTCTTATAAATAAGCAAATTTCACAGTGGGAACTAGAAATATATGCTGCAAGCTATGGTAGCAGTTTTCTTGCTTTTGAAGAGAATAGCAAAACATCCATTAATTTTTAATGGAAGATTGCCGCTAATGGGCTGCCTCCATATGTTTATGTTAAAGGGGGAATTGACTGTCACCAATTCTTCTGTTTACTGCAATTAGTAACAATAAGAAACATGAGAGCAAGGCAAGCAGTTTCTGTTGTACTTTAAGCAAAACTGTTCTTTGAGGAAGGGGGGAGTTCTGCTTGTTCAAGGCTCATGACAGGTAGCAATATATTAAAGCTATAAATCTGTTACTTACTAACACTGCCATGATCCTGCCCTGTCTCTAACCACCAGAAGCCATTAAAATAAATATCTGGTTTATGAGAGGAAATGTTGTAGTTATTCAAGATTACTCAAGGGTCAGTGCCTTCATAGCCTCTTTCATAACTGAATAATTCTTTTGTCTTGTGTTCTGTGTTCCAACATTTCTAGAATAAATGCTTATATTGAAGAAGAAGTTCAAAGACGCCTTCAAAATATTCACTATAGTTCTGCAGAGAACAATAATAGCCTGTTACATTCTACAGGACTTACAAAGGTGAGAAAATAGAATTGCCTGGCCTCAGGCCTGCAATTATGACCATTAATGATAGTGGAATGTCTCCACAAAGTGATATTTCTCTCATATTCTTCAGAGAATTGGTGGCTGTCAACTCAAAAAAGAAGGAAAAACTATTCAATCTAACTCTTCAGTTTTTCTCTCATGATTGTTCAAGCAAGAAGTAGTGGTAAACTGGCAAAGTTGGAGTTATTTCAATTTGCTAAAAGGATTTCCAGATGATACTGCTGCTGCTACTACTACCACTAGTACTGGGGGTATCATAGTGAGCAATACTAGCCCAACCTGCAGTTTGGGATAACAGCAATGAATAGCAGTGGAAGCAGTGGGTAATTGAATGAATAAAGTGTATGAATAAAGCCAATAGGAAAGCAATGAATGCACTGTCATAGCTATTTCCTCAGCTTCTATTCCACTTGCAAGATAGCACAGAGTTGCTGTAAACCACTCAAAGCCTGACTTTCAGTATTCCCTGTGTATTACATGGCAGGGTCAGTACAAGTCATTATCTCCTAACCAGAACTCCTTCCAAGTGTAAAATATGGGGGCAGTGAACCACATTTGCTTTGAAATATACATTAGCAGTTTTATTATTGTTATAATTTATTTCATTCTGAATACTAATTGATTTAGAGCAAAACTCCTCTCTTTGCTAACTTGGGGTGTGTGGGAGTTGACTCACTGATGGCCGTTCTCTGAAACAGCTTGACTTTTCCCTTTGATTTCTGTGGAAGCGTTGGCTTCTGTCCCTGGGAACATTAAGACACAGCTTCTCTGTCTGAACAGGGGAGGAAACTATCTATAAAATGAGTTCTGTCCATGTCCTTCCTCCTCCTCTTCTGCTTCTTTCCCTTGGAGGAGTAAAGGGGAGGACAGAAATGGAGCAAAGGACAATTTTTGAGGAGACATTGTCTCAGAGGTGCCAGCCTTACACTCTCCTCTTTACCTCTTCTGGGCTCATTGCTTCACCTCTCAGCTAGCCTCTCCTACCCAACTGCCAGCTGATCAGATGACAGACCATTTGGGGGATCTTGATGCCAGTGGTGATACATCAGTGTCACAGACTGGCATCAAGGGTGATTGCTCAGGGTGACTGATATAAATGGGTCAGCCATCTTGCGGCCATCTGAACCCTGTAAGCAGCACATTGTTTTATCATTCAAAAAGTTGTTATTTAGCCAGAGGTGTTTTTGTCTTCCAGGCTACTTCTGGACCCTTAGACTGTGGGAGTGTAAGACAGCAACATCCTGTTGATAAGCCCACTCAGAGCAATGGCTTTTCTGAGCGTACCCTGACAGGGTCATCCCCTTTGACTCAATGTCAGGCAGTGAGGGAAGGTGACTGCCATTGCAGCACTAATTGTTTCCCACCCTGCTTGCACTAAGGCAGGCTAATCTTCAAATACACATTGGCTCTGTGGGCTCTGAATGAGTGCCTTGCAGAAGCAGTCATTACAGTGCATGGAGCCTCCAGTCACGTACTGAACTCTAGGGCTGATAAAATAAAGTCATTAATTGTTTTTGATACAAGAAATGCTGCATGTTCCTTAAAATTATTTCTTCCCTGTTCAACCATTGAAGGAATTTGCTTTAGAGGCATCAAAATATCTAATTTCTAAATGTGTATGAATTTTAAAAGTGACTATGTTACAAATTATGTTACAAAAGTGACTATGATATGATACTGTTTTATGCCATTTTTGAGGGTTTTTCCTAAAAGTATAGAAATAATAAAAGTAAATATGATCCTAATATCCTTTCTTTAGTTATCAAGAAGAATAATCGGTGGCTATTTTCTGTTTGCCAATTCTATCTGAATTTAATTCTGTTCAGTACCACTTTAACTTAAATTGACCCAGCTGATTTAGGGAATTTATTGTTATAAAGTTTTGTGCCCTTTTTAAAGAATCAGACCTTTTGAGCTGTATCTTTTCTTTGCTTTCCAGGATAACGAGAAATTTCATAATGGTACCATTCAGCGTAAGTTGAAGTATGAGGTAAGTTATAGCTTGTCAACTTGAAGAAGTGCTAATCTTAAATTATGGCATGCTCTGTAATTAAATTTCTTAACATTTCACAGCATAATTATAATTCTGTATTTGATCAAGATTAATGGCCAATGAGAAAAGACAAAATTAAATCTTCGGCTGTGGTAAAGCTTTGGGTGGTCGCAATAGTGGTGTTAATATTTTGATGCTGTAACAGTATCCCTTTCAAAGATCTACAAGATAGAAAAGGGTTGGGGTTAGGGTTAGGATCAGAAACATTTTTTTACTGTCCAACAACACTGAAATTCCTGTCCTGTTAGTAGCATGAGCAACCTGACAGTCTGGATAAATTAGGGATAAATCAGCTTTCCAAATACTCAGAGCACAGTGTGGAAATATTGATGCAGGCACCCAAGTCTTTAGCTATCACAATATGGATTTTTATTGCTCTGTTCCAAATGAAAATTAATACTTAAATAGAAACTTTTCAGTGAATTCTGATTATTATTGTATGGAAGCTTCCTTCTGGAGAATTCATTCCAGATTCAGAAAATCAACAGGACATCCACTATTGAGCTAGAGATGTGGAGGGAGCATCACTGAAATGAAATGGATACTGTTTTAACTGCCAGACGGAGAAGGAAATCGCTGCTCTTCTTCTTGAATAAGAACTGATTTCATTGGATTTAATCTGGGTTTGATGCTATTTAATTCAGAATTGCACAGCACAACTAAACTGGCTCCTAAATATTTAAATCAGAAGAGTTTCATGGTAAGCACAAAAGGCATCTCTTGTTTGTGTTTTGTGTTTTTTGACATTAAACAGAAAAGACAGCCTGGCTTGCCCCTTTATGGCATTCTTGCTCTCTGTAGTGATGGCAACCAAAGTTATAACCTGACTGGTGAAGATACAAGAATGGCAGTCATCACTGAGCAGGAAAACAACATAGCTGCACCTAATCCTTCTTGGAGGAAAATTATGCAGTTCTGCGTGACTCAAGAAGCAACAAATCAAAGGAGACAGTTAGAACAGGAATCCATCAAATGCCCGTGCAATAGTGAATGTGACTTGAATCAGTGCATACTTTTTAGGAACAAGAGAACTTGCTCTAAATATTCTACAGATCCTCTTCCTCAAGCTCATGATGGATGTAGAATGATTCATTTGTCAGATAAAAAAGTAGTGCTGCATCATTCTGGAAACACAAACCTTCCTGCTCCTTCCTGGGAATGCAGTAGCTCAGAAGCCAAATCTTGTTCTTTCCATGCCCATTGTACGCCAGCCTCAAAACCTTTAGCCTCTACTAAACATCGATCTGATAGTTACACTTTCCTGTCTCTCAGAGAATACCGTAACAAAATTCCTCATGTTTATGAGCAGAATCCAACCTGGCAATTGGATGAAAGTGCCAACCAAAGATTCTTCCCAGATTCATTTTTGGGAACAAAATATATTCATGGCCTGGGACATCTGTTTAGCAAATTCACCAGTATTTATAGTGATGTCAATTGTCAAATATTTAAGAGTAGCTGGTTTTCTAAACAGATTAAAGATCTGATGAGCTTCTTTGACAAAAATGAGAAGCATTCTCAAGTAGTATCATTTATTAAAAGCTTTCAATTTATTAAAAATATGCAGTTAAATCTGCTTTTAGGTATGAAGATGAATGACTCTCATGATGCTAACATCAGCTCAGGAAGCCTTTTGCAAAATGAAGACACTGTAAACTTCTTGCCCTCACAAATCTCAGTTGATATGTGTGCAGTGGATTGTGTTGAGGAATCAGATAACAGTTGCAGAAATGAAAAACTGAAAAGTAACCTCCTAATTACGCAGAAGTTTGTATATTTCTCAAATGGTCTTCGGAAATTGCAGCTCTGTCCCTGGGATGAATTGTTGCAATATGTGACCTCGCTCTTTCCAGAAATGTGTGCCAAACCTAATGAACTTAAAGGAATATACTGGATTGCTGTGGGGAGCTATAAAAAACCCGGCCCAGAGCCTGCGTGCTTGCTTTTACTTGGTTCTGTGTTATATGCTCTTGGTCAGTCAGTCGATCAACTAGAAACTAGTCAGGGCTCTCTTGAAATGTTTTTTTCTGTTCCAATCACTGCATTAAGAGAAATTCAAATTGGCTATGCTGGACAGAGCATCAGAGTTTTGTGTTCCAATGAAGAAAATATAGTGAAACTCTTCACCTTTGACAGGTACCTCACACAAAGAATATGTCATGACATACTTAGCACTGTCATTTCATCAACTGAGCATGCTTGCTTGAATCACCCACTGTTACAAGGAGACCTGTTGAAACTCTCACTTGATTGGACTTCAGCAGTCATGGACTTAGTTCTTGAAAGCGGTGTGCGCCTTTCATGCAATTTTGAGGCCAATTTAGCTGATCTGGTTTATTTGCTCCATGAAAACATGGAAATCAACAAACCCCCTTTGGGAGAAATTCAGTTATTGCTGTATACAACAGTGAAACTAGGGAATAAATTCAGATCACTAGTCCTCACTAATACTCATATAGGTCTTATACAAGAAGATAGTGCCTTCTGCCAAATTCCTAAAAATCTTTTAGCTGATGAGTCACAGTTTGACAGAATTCAGCTGCATTGTTTGAGTGAACTCAAGTGTGTGGTTGTCCCAGAGAAAGAGAATCTGCTAGAAATTGAGCTTGTATTTTCCAAGTCAAGTAAGGTTGACAGTGCTGCTGCCGATAGCTTGCCTTGCACTTCTCTAGAAAAGGAAAATATACAACGGAGATCTCTTTCGTCCTTTTGCCAGGTTTATTCTAGCACCCCATCATGTACCTGGAAATTGACATTCAGTTCAAACCAAGATGCCATTAGATTAGTGTTGCATTTGACAGGACAGTAAATCTGAGTGCTCTTTTACGTTCAATCCAAATAATGTTTAAATCTAACAAGAAAATATTTTGGAACTGAATTGTGTGGGGGTTTTTCTCTAAATGTCTCTTGGAAGAGGCATGTAGAGGTAGATTCAGGATGTAAGAACAATCAGTGGTAGGGATCCATCCATGTGTATGCACATATGGACAGGAGAAATTAGTGCTTGCCTTGCAATTACTCATAGGGGCAACAAGCAGCTGGGCCAGTCATGGAGCTAGAAGAATTTTTATCTTTCTGCCCTCATCCAGAAAGGATTTGATTTGAAAGCAGCATCAGCAGCTTCTCTGCAAGTGAAATTACAATGCAATGGTTTCTTCTTCTCATTCCATTTGATACATCTTGAATAAAATACTTGTTCCATTCCCCTTCACTGATACATGAATTCAGAAAGCTAGGATTCTTTTCTTCAGTGTAATGTGGGCTGCTTCAAAATTATTTGAGGTTCCCAATGCATGATTTGCCTCTTTAATATGTGAATGATAAATCATGAGGTGCATTCTGGAACCAGAAAAAAAAAATCCACATTTCAGTTGTGTGTATTCATATTGTAAGTAGTCTTAAGAATGAAAATGATAGTTCTTAGTGCAATTATAGTGTTTGTTCTGAAATCAGCACACATGCACATGCACACACACATTGTACTAAAGTGAAAAATATGGTATGAAATGAATTTCCATGCTATATTCTCAAAAACCACTCCTGTGTTCATTCTATTAAATCTGTCATTAAAAATAATAAATTTAAGCCATAATTGTGGCCTTCAGGAAAGAAGACATTCATTCAGTTTTATAGGGGAAAAGAGCATTGTTATAGAATTGCACATTTTCTTGGTTGAAATCTTTATTTCATAACCTTTTCTTTGGTTATATACAATTAAAAATCCCTGTTGCATATGTAGCTATCCATGTATCACTTTAATTTCTTTCTGTAAAATAACGTATCAGTTAATAATGCAAGTGGAAGATTGCTCATTGTCGTGCCAATTTTTCACACTCAGTTCTTTCCTCCTAACATGCTACCTCCATCCAGTTAGCATATTACTTTACCAAATATTGTCCGTAATGATTTCCATGTAACGTGAGAGACTGGGCATGTGTAGGGATAGCAAGGAGGGACAATAAAAAATTAAGGGGAGAGTTCAGTGTTTTTATTCCTGCAGAAAAACTCACTTAATACTTTTAAACATTTCCACATTCTTTAAATACTTGGAATAAGAGAACAATTTGAGAATCTACCAAACATATTCTTCCTGCAACATAGCAACAAGGTATTCTTACAACACAGGCTGTGCATTCTCTTCTCACTTGCCTCATAGTTGTCTGTCTTATTTATCAAGTGAAGGAAACCTTTCTTTTTTTTTCTCTGTCTTCCCTTCTGCCATCCTTCAGTCCTCTATCAGGAAGCAAACTAATACATGGAAGACTTAACTTCATTTCTATTTTCTATCTTCTAAAGTCTATGAAGTTCACAGCGACAATTCAGAGATGTAACGAATTTAATTTAATTAGAATTTAATTCTAATGAAAATTAAATATCTAATTTTCATTAGAAAAATAGATAAAAGTTATATTGATGGCTGTAATGGTATATACACTGGAGAGCCAGTGTGGTGTAGTGGTTAAGAGCATGGGACTGGGACTCAGACAATCTGGGTTCTAGTCCCCGCTCAGCCATGGAGGCCAGTGGGTGACATTGGGCCAGTCACAGACTCTCAGCCCAGCCTACCTCACAGGGCTGTTGTTGTGGGTATAAGATGGAGGGGGAGAATGATGTAAACTGCCTTGAGCCCTTTGTAGGAAAAAGGCAGGATATAAATAAATAAATACCGTTTTATGTGTCCTGCAGTTTTTTTGGTAAATAATAAGAAACAGAAAGAAAAGCAAGAGCATCAAAAAGAAAACGTTACCAAAGAAGCACATTTTACATTGCTTATAAAACTAGATGCGAGAAACTCTACAAAGAATCAGAAGTAGACATTTTCATCTAAACTTAAACTGTGTGAGGAGACTGGCTTGGATTTTGATGAGAAACTCACACTCCACACCTCTAGTTCGTGTTAGTAGAAAGTGGCCTGATTTGCACATAATGCCAGCCCATAATTTTGGGAATTCTAGGTTATTTAAACCATGGGTTGACAATACATGTGAACCCAAAGCCATGCACCATTCATGAGTTGTTCTACCAGGTTACAAAAATGGCGATTAAAAATTATCAGAAAACCTCAAGCTGCTCTGCTTGCCAGCATTATAGTGATGCAAAGGCATTTGAGAGACACAAAGGTAGCAGGAAAAGTAGGAGAGGTAAGGAAACAAACATCCAGAGATCAAAGGGGAAAAAAGCATGGTTTGATTGTCTGCCAGAAACCCTGAGTACGTAACCAAATAGGATCATGCAGTCAGTGCTTGCTTAAACAAGGAATAACAGAACAGGCAGAAGAGAAGCAAAGTATGCTTTAAAAAGCAAAGCAGATCCACACCGTAGCCTGCACTATACTCAAAGAAGTAACTCCCGTGCCGATGGTTCTAGAGCATGTGGCATATACCTTTTCCCATCCACACAGGAAGAGGTGCCATGATTCAAGGCAGCGGTGTAACAGGGGCACCCAGCGCCCCCACATTACAGACCACTTAGATGGATTTGTCTGATTCTGGGGAGGAGGCAAAAGGGCAAGGTTTGGGCAGTTGCAAACTACCTAGTGAAGAACCATCTGCCTTGGAAAGGAGGGGGACATTTCAGAGCCCTGGGAGAAGGTGATGGAGGAGTTCCTTGACCCACTCCGAGGAGACTGCGGGTGACATCAGCAGACCAATCACAGAGTGTCCCACCTTCCTGCCAACCATCCCTCAAGCAGCAGGAGCCGCCTCGAGAGCACAGTCAGAATCCTTTCTGAAGGGGAGGAGGGGAAGCATCAGTTTGGATCCAGCTCTTCACATAGGCAGATGCTTCTCCCACATCTCAAGAAGAGTGCTACTTTGATTTATGCTGTTCTGTAACCCATCTGTTTTAATAAAGCAACTGTGCTTCTAAAGTTTCATCTGGGTCTACTGGAGAGGAAAAGTGGGGGAGGGGTGTGACAGGCCACAAGGATAAAGAGCCCCAAACTCGAGGCCTTTCACTTGGTTTAATCAGAGAGAAAGAGAAAGGAAGTCACCTCCCCTTGACTCACCAATCAGGTGCAAGCCAAATAGTTGCCAGCACCCCCCCCCCATACTGTTACCTGAAAGAAATATCCCCCATTTCCATGCAGTGTGGAAGTGTTTTCCATATATACATTGTGTGACTGTATCTGTATGGATCCCTGTCATATAGGAGTATGTATTTCTGAACATCTTCTCTACAATTAACATTTATTATTTCTCTGAATCATTGAAGATTTACACTGAGACTGTTCAGATACAAGTTAACAACAAAGTTGGGCATTGTGAGAGCAGACATTACACACGTGTGCTACAAGCTTCCTTTTCATATAGAAATTAGAAAATTCTGTGACTGGCTTGCAGGAGGCTGTGGTTTGCCATCTTCCGTAAAGAAACGAGCTGAGGGCTTGCACTTGTCTGCCTTTGATTCAGCAGGAAAAAGGCAGAAAAAAATGCAATACTGCCTTTGCCCCAAAGACACTTCTTCATTTTACAAGGCCCTTTAGAGACTTTACTATCCTGCTGCTCCCTTCACTATGTAGAGCCTAATAGAATCTTGTGATATATCCTTAAAGTTTCATATTTTTATAAGTTTTATATACATAAAGATCTATCAATGAAGTTTTCAATTTATTTTTAAGAGATCCCTTCTCAACATGCACTACTTTTGCAGAGCATTCTTAATGGTTTTTTCCCTGTATGCTATGTTAACATTCCCTTCTCTTCGAGTTATATTTTTGTCAAACTCTGTCCAGCCTTAATTCGCTAATTTTTAAGGCCGCACCAGGGTGAGATCTTTTCTGTACAACAGGTAGTATAGTTAGTGTAATATAAAACCACAGTGTTGACATTATTATGCATATAGTTATTCCCATCATCTTTCTCGTATTGATCAATATCCCCATGTTTATGATGGTATGTACTTAGGAGAACCAAGACTGACTTTATTGCTTAAGTTACATCACTTGATAAAGCTGTAGTGCTAAAGTTGTTATTGAACTACAATCAGCATGGTTTCTTGAATACAAAAATGCTTGCAGGGGTTTTGCCGGTGTCATAGCTAATGCACGGTGGAATACCATATTCCCTCTGATGACTGTTTCAAGATTCTTCATAATCACAACCAATTTTACCTGTTGAAGAGAGCTATAAAAATGTCAGTGGCATCTAGTTTTCGCAAGGTAATAGTCACTGATGCTTGTTTAGATAAAATTCATTTATTTTTAATATTTATATGCTGCCTTATCTGCTAAAAAGCCATCAAGTCAGTATAGAATAATTTAAAACAATAAAACCTTGAAAGAATAAAACAAAAACAGTAGAATATATTAAAAACTACATATTTTTAAAGGCTAAATGGAAAATATGTGACTTCACACTGCCTAAAGGTGGAGAATGGGGGCCAGTTACAGTTCTTTGGAGAGAACATTCCATATTTTGGGGTGAACAATGCATATAGAATGTAGTGGACGGTATCCAATACTGATGCAGCACAAGCAGCACCGACAGCTAGCACACCAGGAAATTAGCACAGCTGGGAACCATACTGGATACTGCAACTTCTGGAATGTGAAATCAGAGCAGCACAGAAAGGAGCTCCTCTGACTTGCCCCATTTTGAGCATGGCTGTTTCTTGGGTTGCGCTATTAAGTGCTACTTTCCTGTTGAGCTAGCAGTCATTCCCTCCTGATGCAAAGTGTTTAGTGCCAGATGATTGCAAACACTGGATGTATTTTTAATGCAAATGCTAGCATGAAGCTGGTGTGTTACATACTTTCCAAAACACTCCAGAAAACAACTTTCTCACAGGTGGTTCCAGAACTAGGGAATACATGGCACATGATCTGCAGGGTCTGTTCATCTTATGTTATATTGCTCAGGGTAGCTGCTGGGTAGACTGTTAGATACACAAAAGAGTACAGGAAAGTGATGCATTATTGTCTAACCTGAGCGGGAGGACTTCAAAGAATCCTGTGGATCCAGGGTCCATAGGATTGCTTCCTCCATGCAAGAATGAATCTGCCTAGCTTTCTTTTCAGTGTCATGCTCCAGAGATAAACAAAACCCCAGTAGTGTCTTCAGTGCAACCTTTAGTTAAATTTCTTCCCAAACTGTTATATTGAATAGGTTGCTTTTGCCAAAAGTTGAAGTCCTGTCAACATCCTGACATTAAAGAGAAAGCTATTTGGAAATTGCAGAATAACAAACTGCCCCTTTCAAAAGAAGCATGACTTTTCACAATTACCAGATTCCTTTAAGCCTGAACCAACCAACACTGATTTGGGGGCATGGGAGAAATTGTATGTGGAGTTAGCAAAAATTTCCTTCCCCTTCTACAAGTGGAAGCATCCTGTGAACAGAATTCTGCCCATGCAAACTTTGGATCTGAGCTTACATGTTTGTTACTTGGCTTTTAACTGAAACTATAAAGTTTTTATTATGTTTTCCATTCTCCATAAAACTGCAAGAAGAGTAAGCAGGGCTTTTTCCTGTGCTGTTCATCATTTTCTCCTAAGTACCTGAAATAAATGCTTGTCCATTCATAAGAGAAGTACTGTTTGCTTTCACAATAGACCCTCGTACAAACCCTATCCAATCTTATTTTACTTTTCTGACAGAAAAAATATTTTGATCTGACAGAATATTGTTCCTGGAACGATGTGGGTTTTAATTTGTTTTTCCTTTTTGATATTCATCTGATAGCGAATGATCTGTCGCTCTGGTAAAGCAAACCCTGATGACCTAAAGAATCCAGTTAAAATTAGTATTCCACGCTATGTCCTTTGTGGGCAGGGAAAGGATGAGCACTATGAATATGAAATAAAGGTAAGGTG